GTCTTGCTATTGAATTGATAGCTGGTGAAAGTCATTCTGCACCTGACTTTAATTTTTTTTCTATTGATATCCAACTAACTATTGAAGGATTGAGTAAATAGAATACAAAAATTAATTAGAAATTTTGTTTTGTTAAAATTAGATCAATGGGAACGAGTTCTTTATAGTGTTTATCAATATTTGGCTATGTTACGTATAGAAGGACCAAAAGAATGGATTTTTAATGAAGGCAAAGTAGGGTGAAGAGTTAAATTTGAAGAAAAAAAAATTTTTTTTTGTATTGTTTTATGTTTAGAATATAAATCAAATGGAATTTCAATTTGAAGAAAAAGGACAGCTACGTTATATTGTATCAAGTTTAGCTGGTAGAACGAGGGTATGTATATCTAAATAAGAAAATATCAATTTGAATTTTTTCCGATTTTTTTTAAAGGATTATCCATGAAGTGAATGTTTATCTGGTCCATATGAAATGCGTGAATTTCGTTCAGATTTAATAAATGAACTTCTTAATGAATATTTAATTCCAAGTAAAATGAGGTAAAAAAAAGACTTGAAATTTATTTTCAAAACCATTTGAATGCTTTTTAAGAGTATTTCTCACAAGTAAAGAGTTTCTATCAATTGCAAGAGAAAAAGAAAAATGGTATGGTACACAATATAAACAAGAATATTTATCAGAAGAACTTATTAAACAATATGAAACATGTGAAATTAATTGTGAACTTTATTTACCAATACCAAATAAATTTATTCCGACAGATTTTCAATTATTTTCCAAAGAGAAAAATCTTACACGACCACAAATACCAACAAAGATTAAAGTAAAAAGTTATTCTCTTGATTTTAATTTAAAAATTAGATTTTTTTTCTAAAAAGGAAAATAAATATTATCGTCTTTGTTATCCTGAAGAAATGATTCATTAACTGAATTTGTCTATCAAGCACAATTTGGAGGTTTAGACTATGAATTATATGATTGCAATGAGAGTATTCAAGTATATTAATATTAATTTTCAATAAAAATAATTTCTTTTATTTGGTTTTTATCTAGTTAAGTATTTCTGGATTTAATCATAAGATAAAAGAATTACTGAATTTAATTATTGATCATATGATTAATATTAAAGTAGAAGTAGAAAAGTTTGAAATAATTAAAGAAAAAGTAATTCAATTAATAAAAGAGATTAAACTTATTGAAATATTTTGCTAGGTTAAACAATCATTACAATTTTTCCGTCGTTGTGTTCCTTCTGCAATGGCAAATTCTGGTCTTACGTATTTAACAGCTGAATATGACTGGAATAATAATGAACTACTTAGTTGTCTTGATGGTAGATTTAAAAAAGTTAATTTTAACGAAAGAATTTCTTCATTTTTCTTTGTAAGATATTACAATGCATGATGTAGAATCATTCATTGCTCGAGTATTAAAACGTTTTTATATTGATTCATTAATGTATGGAAATTTAACAAAAAATGTACGAAGATTTATCTTTTTTTGTTTGTTTGATTTCAATTTGAATATTTATTGTTTTTTTTTGAATAGCAAGCAATTGAATATATGACTTTAGTCGAATAAAAATTTCAAGAAAAATCTTTTTATCAACCACTTTTTCCTAGTATGTGGTTTAATCAACGTGAATTAATATTACCCGATGGTTTGTTTGATTTCTCTTATTTATTTTAAATTGAATATTTTCTTAGGTTGTAATTATG